TCACCAAGCCTAAATAATATTGTTCATTTGTGCATTTTAGCCTTTCTGCAAGACCCCTAGTGGTCATTCTGCAAAGGGAATGGAAATGTTTTCTCCTGTAATTCTGCTACCAAATTAACCAGGACTCTGTTGTCTCTCTGTGTGTGAAATGTTGCGACTATGTTGGGCTGCTAGCGAGCAATGAGGGGTAAAAGGGGGAGAGGTGAGAACTGAGGGAGCTTTAAAACTGTGGAAAAATGGTTAACTATGACATATAAAGCATTAGATATCCTGAAAACATGGTAACTCATCACGCTTTATCTAGTTTTATGTGCAAAGTCTGCAGCTTTAGCAAATACCGTATGTCGGCTGTAGCCTTTCACTTGCCATCAACTTGTCAGACCAAATTTGCCCCCCTGTTGACAGCTATGCTGATATTGGCACAAATTGTTTTCCTCTAAATAAACATGAATAGCCTTTAATATGGTCAGTTATTGCAAACCGACAATGAAAACCTGCTCATTTGTAATGAGAACAGTTTGAAAAGCTACGTGCCTCCAAACTTTTGATGGACAGTGTGGAAATCAATGATGAACTTCTCTGCACTTTGTGATGCAATTCCAGTTGAAAACGTCTCAGTGCGTCTGATCCGGAAGTGTCTTCTGAAGCACTTATTCCTGAAAGAGACTGAAAAAGGAGCCCAGAAATCAAAGAAAGTGTGCTGCCGCTGCCGAATGTCGCCCACAGTGCAGTGGACAGGTACAGTGAGCCTGAGGCTCCTGCATAAATCTCCATAAAGAGCAGGGGAAGCCCTGATCTCCAGTGACTGAGGCAGTAATTGGATCTCATACATCAGAGATGATCAGAGATTCAGCCTGAATCTCCCCAAAAAAGTGATAAACACATTTACTGACACGTATTTGTATATGTATGTCTGTGTATTCTATTCGATTTGGGGTCCAGCAGCCATATTACAGAAACTTCTTAACTCTGAAATCTGATGTGTTTAGTCTCTATGACAACCTCAGTACGGACTGAATTTAGTTCAGTGTCTATTCCAGAATAACAGTTCCTAACTTCATGATCTCATCATGAACTCCAGATAAGAAAACAGCATCACACAAACATCCTAACTGGACTAAACCTCCTAAATCCTGTCCTAACTTTAGGATGAACCCCAACAGGGTCCTCACTTCTGTTTAAGGTCCGTTTCTATGGTTTTTAGGCAGCTGAGTCAGCAGCATAGTTCACTACCAGCATAATGAGCTCCATTTATTCCTACTGTAAAACGCTGCTTTCACTGTGAGATGATTTTCTTTTCTAACTCTGCGTTTTAAAGATCTCAGACGCTGCAGACTTGATCTCCACCGCCCCTCTGATCACCTTTGTGTGTTAATGTTGATGATGAAATATTACAGTGATGGTGGTGAATAATGAGGAGATGGAGCTGAACGTGTGTCTGTTTATTAGGAGGAGTAACGTTAGCGCGCTCGGCTAAAGCGTTTGGGAAATGGAGACTGAAACTGGGGAGCGGCGACGCGTTGATAAACAGCAGGGGGCGCTCTCACAGTACTCACTACTTACAGTTTATCACACTATAGTTTAGTTTTGACCTTTTTTACATCAGTAACAGCAGCTGCCTGGCTAACTAACTTGATTATTCTGATTCATGTTTACCTTTCAGCTGTGCACGTATGGTCAGTTGCAAGGTAACAGACATAACAGTTGATTGTCAACTACGATTGAGTAGGTTAAGATTTCCTAACTGGAGATAAGATGCTGTAAGATAAGGTTCCTAAATTAAGATCAGATTTGCTTCTGTAATACGAGTTTGTGAAAAATCTTATCTTGACCCGTCAGATCTTAACTTAAGACACAAAGATAGGAAGTTTCTGTAATACGACCCCAGCTCCCCCAAGTCTAATGAAAACGGAAAACTTAAACGTTTAGTGCTTGTGGGGATGCTAGTCTGTTCTCCATGAGGAAAAATGCCCACCCCCTTCCAAAATTACAGCAGCTTATCTTTTTAATTACTGTGTTTTAGAGGAGAAATCCACTGTTTTTTCTAAATTTCTGCATAATTAAATGGTTAAGATGTAAACAGAGTCGTTCAGAGTGGTTTGGTGTGAAACGCTCTGTTCTAGAGAAACTTACCGAGTCAGAACTGTTCACAGTGGTGGTGATAGGAACCAGACGTCCACCTCTAAAAGCTCCCTCACAGAAAGTTCCTACATGAAGTGGTTATGAATTCACTGCCTGATGACAGACACAGTTTTGATAAGGTTCTGGCCTAAAACTTAGTATTTCTGAATTAATTCACAGTAGAATTCTCCTTTAAAGCTGGCCTTAGGTGTTTCTTTACTTACTACTTCAAAGCTGCAGGTCCCCAGAGAGAATGATTGATCTCAGATCATAAGTGAGAGAAAAACTCAAACGAAATCCCGAAGCTCAGAACTCTTGATTCTTTGTCGTGGAGTAAAACAAACCACCACAGGCCACAGGAGGAACCTTATGCTCCTGCTTTCATGTCCACTTTTGGCCTTTTCAGCCATGAAAACCACGTTTTCATTTGGTGCCCAACTTTGTTCACAGCAACTTCAGACACAAACCACAAAACGCTTTTTTGATTACTTCTGTTGGGTGAGGCCAGGGACACGCCCTGTTTCCTTCATTAACAGCTGAAATGCACTGTTCTGTAATAATGATCGACACCAGCCTTGCTTGTGATGTGAACAGAGCAGTCTAGAGCGAGGGAGAACATCAGTGCCAGTTTGGATGTTTATGTATACATATCATCTCAACACATTTAGCCTGTTATTTAGTGTTCTAGTTAGTTTCTATTGGTAATTCTTAGTTATTGTATTTGTAGGTATTGTAGTTTTTAGCCTTTTACACTTACCTAGATTTATATTGATGACGTTCAACATATGATTAGGTCACTTGACGGACCGATTAAGTGAGGATTCTTCCAAGTCTCCATATGGCTGATGATAAGTGCCATGAACAGCTTGCAGAACATAAGGATTTTGGGCCACTGCAGCAAACCCTGGATGACTGCTGAGGCAGTCTACGACCCCTGTGAACAACCTGTTCGGTACGATACAGTCTCCCTGTTATACGTCTGTGCTTGGAATCAAACAGGCAGCATGCTAAAAGCGAGGTTGTGATGCTGGCGTCTCCTTGTCGAAGACAGGGATGGTAGTGGAGAAAAATCTCTGACCTTGTAAGACGTCAAAGATGCAAAAGTGCTGTTTGATTTTGTCACTCTCCATATTTTCTGGTAAAATACAGCAGCCCAGCCCACCCGGTTTTCCTCCCAGCCCCACCTCCAAACCTGTAGATGACTTCAGTACACCCCCCCCCAAAAGCCCCTCCCATTTTTGAGCATTTTTCAAAGTTAAGCCAGGGGTGGAGTCAACTGAAAATGTGGAGTGTCATTATTCTTTAAAATAAAACCACAAAACTCTGTACTATGATATCTAGTACCATCCTGGAAGAATCAAACTGTGGACGGCGCCAAAGAAAAGAACAAAACAAGACCTAACCACGTTTGCCTACTCTGAAACAAAAAGTACTTGGCTTATCTAAAAAAGGAAACAAAAGCTAACTACGCTACACCTCCCTGGCCAGCAATCAAAAGTATATGTAGCAGTGCCCTCTGACCTGGACAACTAGACAGAGAAGACTCCTACATGGTGAGAATGTAAAGGTTGCCCCTCTTACCTGTTTGAAACTGCCAGTGGTCCAAATAGCCAAAGACTCTCTTGTAAAACAAAAGTGTGCAGGTAAAACTAAAGCACTTCCCCAACACAAGAGACGAACTCTTGTAAACCAAGTTAAAAGAAGTTCTGGTAAAACACCAAAAACAAAAGCACAAGAGATTTAAAACACAAACCAAAACACAGCACACATGGCCAGTCCTCTCCCTCTTCAGCCAGCTTGAAGGCCTCTTTTTAAGACTTAGGCTCCTCCCCCCCAAATACACCAGGCCTCTGATTGGTCAGTGGTCCTCCTCACATGACTGCTGGCAAAATAGATACACCTGTGAAGGGAGAGACAGAGAGAGACACAAACACAACAAAATCCAGCAGCACTGCTGGGAATACTTTTCAATTTTTATTAAAAACTTACATTTGAAACAATGTTTTGGGCTTTTTTATACAATTTTCTTTAGTATGTGGGTGTGTGTATATATATATACACCGATCATGCATAACATTTATCCAGCAGCACTGCTGTGTCTGATCCACTCAGACCAGCGCAACACACACTAACACACCACCACCACGTCAGTGTTACTGCAGTGCTGAGAATGATCCACCACCCAAATAGTACCTGCTCTGTGAGGGTCCATGGGGGTCCTGACCACTGAAGAACAGGGTTAAAGGTGGCTAACAAAGTATGCAGAGAAACAGATGGACTACAGTCTGTAACTGTAGAACTACAAAGTGCACCTATATAGTAAGTGGAGCTGATAAAATGGACAATGAGCGTAGAAACAAGGAGGTGGTCATAATGTTATCAGATGTCTTTACAGACTACAACACAAATATAGACATTTTATTTACTATCCAAAACCAGTGAACCTACAAGAGTCTTCTGAGTTTATATGGAATGATGATGAGTGGAAAATCAAAAGCAAAAAATCATAAATACCATCCTTTAAAAAAATGAGCTGACTGTCTGAAGAGTGTAGGACGAGCACAACTGGTGCACCTCTTTAAACTGGTCAGTATATCTGATATTTCTCATTATGAGATTGTGGTAAATTATTTATTTGAGCCCCTCCAAAAAAAACATGGATTAACCATCCCACTATTTTTGGATTATGAGTTATTTTGTTTTCTATCTTTATTTTGTACAACGTTTTAAAGCCAGACAAATCTTTATTTATGTTTTAGAGACCCCTTTATTTTATTTACAAGGCATCAAACAATGCCATACCGTGGATATATACCTTGTATCTCTCTATACCTCGTTTTTCAGTTTTTCAGTTTTCTCTGTGTGTTTTCTATTCTCAGGCCTGGTGTGGGTGGTCTCCATCATGGTGGGATCTCCAATGCTGTTTGTCCAGCAATTAGAGGTGAGTGTTGATAAATTATGGCCTCCAGATATCTGAACTTTAATACTCCAATCAGCAGCTTTCAGAGCTAAACTACACGCAAACTGATCATCTCCTGTAAAAGAACAGCAGTTAATGTGATAAATATATACACTGAATTATATAAACAAACAAAGAAATGAAGAAATAAATAAACATTGACAGTGAAGATCTGTATAAGCAGAAGAACAGTAGCAAATAATAAATAAATATATTTACAGCTGTCTGTAGTGTTAACATCATTAACATAACATAACATTTTAGTGCATAAACCTTTTTAGAGTTTGACATGTTTTATGTTCTTTATTCTTCAATATGTTAAATTCCCAATACTTTTGTCCATATAGTGTAGACCAATCAGGCATAGCATTATGAGCACCTCCTTGTTTCTGCGCTCATTGTCCATTTTATCAGCTCCACTTACTATATAGGTGCACTTTGTAGTTCTACAGTTACAGACTGTAGTCCATCTGTTTCTCTGATACTTTGTTAGCCCCCTTTTACCCTGTTCTTCAGTGGGTCAGGACCCCCATGGACCCTCACAGAGCAGGTACTATTTGGGTGGTGGGTCATTCTCAGCACTGCAGTAACACTGACGTGGTGGTGGTGTGTTAGTGTGTGTTGTGCTGGTACGAGTGGATCAGACACAGCAGTGCTGCTGGAGTTTTTAAACACTGTGTCCACTCACTGTCCACTCTATTAGACACTCCTACCTTGTCGGTCCACCTTGTAGATGTAAAGTCAGAGACGATAGCTCATCTGCTGCTGCACAGTTTGTGTTGGTCATCCTCTAGTCCTTCATCAGTGGTCACAGGACGCTGTTGGCTGGATGTTTTTGGTTGGTGGACTATTCTCAGTCCAGCAGTGACACTGAGGTGTTTACAAACTCCAGCAGCACTGCTGTGTTTGATCCACTCAGACCAGCGCAACACACACTAACACACCAGCACCACGTCAGTGTTACTGCAGTGCTGAGAATGATCCACCACCCAAATAGTACCTGCTCTGTGAGGGTCCATGGGGGTCCTGACCACTGAAGAACAGGGTAAAAGGGGGCTAACAAAGTATCAGAGAAACAGATGGATATAATGGTCATAATGTTATGTCTGATCAGATGAGGCTGGTGAATTCATGTGACTGATGTATCTACAGAGATGTTTGTATAAACAGTGTTTTTGTGCTGTGTTTGGTGGTGACGTGATGAATCAGGGGAGGCGTGTGGGGGTGTGTGTGTGGAGGTGTGTGTGTGTGGTGGGGGGGCTCTACAGGTTGACTCATGCAGCTCGCTTCACGTCTTTCATGTGTGTAAAAGCGGAGTCTCTAATGGGTTCTTTCATCTAAACTCTCTCTAACTCTTTCTGAGTTAACCCCTCGAGTGACCCGCGCATGTCTGCTCACTGAGTGAAGCTCCATCACCTGCTGTGATGTGAAGACCAGCAGAACATGACCTGAGGTCACAACATCTCACACACTAAGAGCCTCAGAGCTAGAACACCGACATCACACGCAGTGAGATATGTAACCTCTCAGAGACACTCATCTCTCTGTTCCTTTGAAATATGCATCGACCAGGAGATAAAAAATAACTGTGAGGCCTGGACATGTGCTTAAAGGGGAATTCCACCCAATTTTCAAAGTTTCACTGTAATTCATCCATTGGGCAGACTTTAGAGGCAGATTTTAGAGGGTGTGAGGAGGGGGTTCATTTGACTTGGTGACTTAAAAAAACATATAAAAAATAACATTTAAAAACCTTTTAACATTTAAAACCTATTTCCACTTTCTTTTGTCCTGGCTGCACTGAAGCCTTCAGCACAAAGGCATAAGATATTTTTTCTCAGATTTAGTTAAGATGTGATATTTATTCAGTTAAACAGTAAAATTATATTTTAAGTTAGCTAAATTGTAGTGCTGAGTCTGATTGCAGCGAGTGGAGCCTTATGTTCCAGCCAAGCGAGTGTTTTTCCACTTTGCAGGAGATGAAACTAGCTAAACTAGTGCAGACAATCGAAATGAGGCATCTCCAGTAGAATACAACCACGTAAAATAAAGCTATGATACTCAAGTGGTCACGTGAGCACCATACTAAGATTTCCCATAGCAGATTGATGGAATAATTAGGTAAAAAATCTAATTTACAAGATTTTGCACTTAGCCCAAATGCAGCCGTTCAGCCAAGGTGTTTTTGGAGTCAAAATTTTGCTTCTTTAGTTTATACCTGGAGCAAACACTGGAAGTCAATGTTCAGCTAAACCATTTCCAAAAATATATGCTCAAATCTTCTCTCAACCAGCTCAAACCACATCCATATCACTTCTTTCCTGGGCACAATTTGGTATCCCACTTCTGACACCACTGTGGTGCCAGCATAGAAGAAGACGTAGAAAATATAGGGAATATATGCGAATGCTCGTCTGTTTGGAACAGGCACTTCAACAGGCAGCAAGAAATGCCCAGCCCAGTGCAAACTCAACACAAAACCAGGGAGAGGTAACGCGACAACCATGGAGGGTGGACATTTGAACACATTGTAAACCCACCCTCTTTGGTCACAGTTACCTCTAACAACACAACTACACTAATGATATCAACAACAATAACAGCAGCAGTACCTTTTTAACCCGATAGCCTGGGCGCAACCCGAGAGCCGCTTTGCATGGCCACCCCTCCTAAATTCAGCTGATCAACTGCAGCTGATCTGGGGGGCACGAAGCCCCCGACAAATAGTGGCAGTTCCGTTTTTCCCTATATAATTTGTTTCACATATAGTTTTGTACATGTCAAATATACAAACACACAATTTCTGTGATTTCTGAGCTTCCACTCCTGCGCTCTGCACGTTTATTTCCGCTTATGATGGGAAATTCTAAATTTGGATTATTAAAATACGACCCTTTGTTTGTTTTTTGATTTTATGATTATTTTGTGAAACTGTAAAACGAAGCTATTTCTTCATTTTTCCACTGACAATAATAGAACCAGAAACGAGAATCGACCCATTTGCAGTTTTTCAATACTGTTTTTGAAATGAGACACAAATGATCAGACGGTACACAGACCCACCAGAATGTAACTGCTGCATCATTTAAAGTGGAATGGAAAATTCAAATAGGAATCTAATTGCAGCTTCATGTGACATTACAGTAAATGAGCACCACGATGGAGAAAAGCAAACAGCACTAAGCCACTAAGCTTTTGAGGTCCCATCTCTAAAATGGGTGATTTTCATCAAAAGCGCTGCGTGATGAGTTTTTTAAAAGCTGGTGGAATTCTGCTGTAAAAAGCACAATCCTGGAAAGGTTCACTGACTATTCAGGCTATTTCAAAGCTGAAGACTCTCATCGCTGAATGGAACATCGCTCAATAGAAAGTACATTATCGTGTCCACCTGTCCACACTGACAACACAATACAGGCCACAAAAAAAGAGGCTTGCACGGCTGTGCATCTAGTCAAGGGGTGACGTCAAAGATAGCGACGTGAACGCACATTTGAAGGTGCCAGTTCAATTGCAATTCTTTTGAAGTGATTATAACAACAATAATGCTCTTTTTTTGGTCAAAATAAACCATATGCTGTTTTCCAAAGGTGAAGATAAAGGCAAAATGTGGTATATAATTTCTGTTGTCTATATTCCACAGTGTATTTGTGTCAAAGAGGTTTTTTAAAAGGCTCTTAATCATATTGAAATAATGAAATCAAATCAAAATTCATTTTGGCAAAATTTCAGATTTCCTGAATGAATTCCTAGAGAATTGTAACTAAAAGGAAAGATGGTGAAATGTTTGTACAGAATCGTCATTAAAATTAATCATGATGAAATTTGAGATTTTACAATTCATAAAATAGTTTAAAAGACAATCATGACTGAATCATCATAATTGAATTCAATCATGATGAAATTTGAGATTTCATGATGCTTTGAATGATTTCAATTGTAGTTGAATTGATTTAATCAAATTAATTTGTGATGAAATTTAAGATTTCATAATTCAGTTGTTTAATCTGTTTCCTAGAGAATCATAATTGAATCAAATTATGATGAAATTTGAGATTTCGCACTGAATCATTTCTTAAAGCTGTGCTATGTAAGTTTAGGGGATTTGGAGACCCTCTGGTGGAAACGTGTAACTGCACACAGAACCTGTTTAATGTGGGTTGAGCTTCGGCCCCCTTTCCTAAGGGGATGAATCTGATGACTGAAAGAGAATTCAAAGAGAACTCAGTCTTCTGAGGATGTGAGTGAATTATTTACTATTGTCATCACATCTTCATTAGTATAATGTTAATTCTGAGATCATTTGAGACCTGAACATCGAGCCGGATGGTTATATCTGTATATAAGTCTGTATATGTGACATTAATACGTAAAGACGTACGACATGGTTTGAAAAGCTTGACACCTCTGACTTTTAAATGATCAGGCTTTACAGGGCGACTCACAGCAGCTCACATCCACCATCATAATCAAATTGAATACTGGTGAAATTTTCATAGAAGATTCAGTGAATCATCTGAATGGGACGTCAGAGATGTACAATCACTGGTGTTGCAGATTTTTTGTTTTGTTCTGTGTTTATATGCAGGTGAAGTACGATTTCCTGTACGAACACCATCACGTGTGCTGTCAGGAGCTGTGGGGTTCTGTGGTTCACCGTAAGATCTACACCACCTTCATCATGGTGGCGCTGTTCCTGCTGCCGCTGGCCGCCATGCTCTTCCTCTACACGCGCATCAGCATCGAGCTGTGGATCCGCAAGAGGGTCGGAGACGTCTCCGTCCTCAGCACCATGAACCACAGAGAGATCAGCAAGATATCCAGGTACGCAGAAGAACCTTAAAAACGAACGTTCAGTCAAATATAGAACCCAAAATGCAGTGTATCAACTGACATGACTGACCAAAACACACACACTTCACACATACTGCTTCTGCATGGCGTGAGCTTTACAGCTCGAACACGCTGGTCTTTCATATATACAGCGTTTGTGCTGCGGAAGCAGAACAGCAAGAAAAGTTATGCAGATATTCCTGTTTCCCAGCGCATTAATGGTCACATCAGTCACTCTGCTAACAAAAATATAATTTATAAAAGTGCACAGTATGTTTGTTTATCCTCGACAGCATTCTGACTTCTGATTAGGAAAAAGTTTCAAGCCTGCTAGAGCAGCCGGGAAATCTGTCTGCAGCACAGAACTTTTAACTACAGGGAGATTCACTCGAAAGAGGCCCCGGATATTCTGTTGTAAATCCCGTTAGGATGAAGCAATCTGAACCAAAAAAATATGGTACATACCTCGACGTATGCGATGCTGGAAGTGATCTCCGTTTTCTGCCAGACACATTTCGACACGGCGCTCCACGTTCCTGAACGTTCCTTGCCTGAAAAACATTCCTTGCCTGAACAACGGCGCCTACCTCATCGCTCTGATGCAGGTAGCTCCATATACTGAGGAGCACATTGCACATTGTTTCGTCCAGATTGCTTCGTCCTAGAGAGAGTTATTACAGAACATTCGGGGCCTCTTTCGAGTGAATCTCCCTGTAGTATTTTGTCATGAATTAAGTAAAATTTAAAAAGTGTTCTAAGTTTGTATAAAATTTTCTATTTAATTTTCATGGCTTATTTTAGTATTTTTTGCTGAATGACGCGCAGAGCACGCTGAAAAAATCGGTGCCAGGTCTATTCTCTAAATACCGCCTGTGTGAAAGTGCTGACCAGGCCGAAATGAAAAGCATGAGCTCCACATCGCTCAGACCACGCAGACGCAGTGTGTGTGAATCAGGCCTTACTCTAAAATTGCTCCAACACTTTTGCTGCACGAATGATAAAGAATATGATGTTAAAAGCAGGTGCATTTGTTTACTCGGCAGCTTTCTGGCTTGTGATTGGTCCATCACATCCCAACACCACATGACAGGTTTAATCCCCCCCTTTTGTCCTTTCAGCTGTCGCTCAACGTCACTCTCTCAGATTTTACTCATAATTAATCATACTTTTTAATCATCTAAACTCGTGTCGGTGCTTTAGTGAGACAGAATCCAACAATCCAGCATTGTTTAACATTTATCCGTTGTTTAATAGATGGTTTGACATTTATTGAAACTGTACAATGTGTCTTACTTATCTGGTAACGATGTAAAGCGAAATACTTTTTTATAACGCTAGACGAGACAGCAACAGCATTATAAGTGACTTCTATCACCAGCAGCTCAGTATTTATGATATTTTTCTAGACAAATATAGTCATATACCATATAACCCAGTGAAATGTCAGGAAGATATGTGGATATGAAAGAATAGAGACCACCCAAGCCAATATACAACCAAAAAAGCCTGTGTGGAGCACAGCTACACAGAAAATATGGCCACTGTTTTCACTTAATAATGGCCATGAATTGTATAAGTCATGAAATGAAGGGCGTAGTTTTTGTTCATATGTTCAAGACATAAAAAATAATAAGAATGAATCATATGGGCGGGTTTTCTCTGATGTGCGGTGTGATCACAGAACACTCTGAGCGAGGAGCAGAAATGTCTGCTGCTCCACTCCACTTATATACTCTGGTTCCAAGCATCACATCCAATCTGTGTCTTATTTCATGACTGATGGATCCTTTTTTAATAATGAAATAGCACCACAATTACAAACTATGAGCTCCAGCAAATAAACAAATTCGGTTTTAATCTGGATTTAAAAACCTGTCTAGCTTGCATGCCTAATATTCACTGGAACTCCAGTGATTAAATTAGCTTCCAGTGTTACTCCAAGGTCTTTAAAGGGTCCATATCCTACATTTTTGTTATATAGGTCCACTTATATCAGGGATGACAACATGCGGCTCTTTTACTGCCCTGTTGTGGCTCCACAGCTGAATCAGATTTGTAGGTAAAAATAAAATAATCCTCCTTTACAGTAAAATAAAGCTCTGCTGATCGTTCAACACAGTTTAACAATAAATGGTCTTAAACTCTGGAGTTAATGTAGAACTGCTAATTCACCCTTTAACCCTGAAGATCAGCGCAGACTGCTGGTCACCATAGCAACGCAGACAACAGTCTCGCCTAGCTAGTAGATAACGAAATAATCGATAATTTGGAGACAAATGGACTTATTTGTGTTTATAATCACTCCAGCTGGTTTCCTGATACGTTTAATCTGCAACGAGAAACTGACAAACACTAAAAAGTCGTGAAGCTGAAGTCGCTTCTCATTCACCAGCTTCTTGTTTGGATTTTCCAGTTCCACCTTAAATGGTGCAGCAGTTACATTCTGGCACCTCAGGCACCATTTAAGGTGGAACAGAAAAATTAGAACGAGAAGCTGGCGAATGAGAAGCGACTTCAGCCTCGTAAAAATCGAATGTTGAGAGACATTTTACAAGAAACTGTTCTACTCCTGTGGAAATGTTTCCTGCTGGAGATGCGAGAAAAGCAGCTATAGCTGAGCTAAAGCTTAAAGCAGAGCAAAGTAAGTCTGTGTTTTTGTTTATATTATATTTTTCGCCTATACTAGTACATCAGCACGTACTGAGACATATTTACAGCCAAGATGGTAAAACATACTTCAAAAAAATAGACATGAAACGTTGTGGCTCTCAAGGTGTTTTGATATTTGTTGAAAGGACAAAATGGCTCTTCTGAACGTTTGCGTTGCGACCCCTGACTCATAACATTTGTGTGGTTTTATGTACCAAAAACCATCCTAATTTATTTCTACATGACCATTTTCCAAACTGTCCCTAATACAAAGCATCAGATATTGGCACGTTTTCATGGACTGACCCAGATGGTTTTAGTGACTTGGTTTCCATCTATGGACTTTTTGGATCGGGGAGAAAACGGTTAAGTTTTTCACTTTAACTTTTACAAACTACATTAAACTTTGCATGATATGAGTCCTTTAGCTGTAGCTTTTGGCCGCACTGAGACATCATTAATGTCAAGGATAAAACCTGCAGCCTGATAAAGCAGACATTAGCCTCAGAAGAAGCAGATTTCAGGCACAAACATGTCTTGGCTGACTGACTACCTTTGGGTTAAGGAGGAAACTGTAAATTAGATTTTTTCACCCAACCGTCACTTTGACACCAAACTCACATCCACAGCCAGAGCACTTCAACACAACATCACTACACAGCAGAGCAACACAGTGTAAATTAACTGCATTGCGTTTGCTTCAGCTCATTAAAACAGCCGTGGGTGGACAAGCTGACGATACACGAGTCTCTGCATGAGGTGAACAGGTCATGGAGAGCTAATATATACTGTTGTTGTTGAAACAGGAAGAAAAAACGTGCCGTCAAGATGATGATCACCATCGTTCTGATGTTCACCATCTGCTGGGCCCCGTTTCACACTGTCCACATGCTCTTCGAGTACAGTGAGTATCAGTGGCAAACCGAGGCAGAGCCAGGCCTTCTGTTTGCACCATAAATATCAAAACTTCGTCAAGAAACATTGCTGTGATCGTGCTAATTTCCTGTGGGATCTGAAATGCTACATTAGCGCTAAGCTAACACTGGTGCATTTGATGTTTTTTCTAGCTTTGTATTTGGTCCCATTGTAAATCAAAGCATGGTTGACTATCACTTTTTGATTGTGTTGGTAGTTAATGTAACATGTAAGGCCTTCAGTCTAGCTAACCAAGTCCTAACCAATGGGAGAGCTCGCTTGGCTCTATCTACCTACATACCACAGAGAAAACAATTCTGACTGGATAATTTTTCATCAGCCGTTTAAAAAATTTTAACCTTTTGTTTCAGCCGAAACTTGGTTGTAGTGGTTGTAAAACAAAATGACAAGCAAAGCCATTCTATGAAATACAGAAGTACAAGGTAGGTGTTTCTAATAAAGTGGCCAGTAAGTGGAATCACAATATGGGTGTTTCTAATAAAGTGGCCAGTTAGTGGAATGACAAGGTAGGTGTTTCTAATAAAGTGGCCAGTAAGTGGAATCACAAGCTGGGCGTTTCTAATAAAGTGGCCAGTTAGTGGAATGACAAGGTAGGTGTTTCTAATAAAGTGGCCAGTAAGTGGAATCACAAGGTGGGCATTTCCAATAAAGTGGCCAGTGAGTGGAAGCACAAAGTAAGTGTTTCTAATAAAGTGGCCAGTGAGTGGAAGCACAAAGTAGGTGTTTCTAATAAAGTGGCCAGTGAGTGGAAGCACAAAGTAGGTGTTTCTAATAAAGTGGCCAGGTAGTGAAAACACAAGGTAAGTGTTTCTAGTAAAGTGGCCAGGGAGTTTAAGCACAAGGTAGTGTTTCTAATATAGTGGCCAGTTAGAGGAATCACAAGGTAGGTGTTTCTAATAAAGTGGCCAGTGAGTTAAAGCACAAAGTGTGTGTTTCTAATATAGTGGCCCGTTAGTGGAAGTACAAGGTAGGTGTTTCTTATAAAGTGGCCAGTGAGTTAAAGCACAAAGTGTGTGTTTCTAATATAGTGGCCCGTTAGTGGAAGTACAAGGTAGGTGTTTCTTATAAAGTGGCTAGTAATTGAATCATTACAGTTCAGTATGAATCATCGTAAACTGAAAGCTGCAGCACACAGAAAGTGACAGGAAGCAATTTTGACCCTGGATTTTGAGCAATAGGCTTTTGTCAGCCTCACTGTGCTGCTGTACAATGTGTAGCTGCACACAGCTGAGACCAAGGGTCATTTAATGTTGTCAGTAATGTGGAAAAAAGGTTGAAATGGACTGTTTCTTTTTTAAGGTGTCAGGGTGAAGTTCAGGACACTGGAAATGTAGTAAATATCCTGCCTGAACCCTTCAGCTTTACACACTTAAGGAGCGAAATTGTGCTTTATTGTGTTTTTCCCTCTTTCACAGGGACACCTAAATGTGAAATATGAGAGACATTTGTTTATTCGATGTTTGTTAATGCCGCCTTTAGAGGGCGACGGTGAGCGATGTTGGTTTATTTGATGTTTGCCAAATTGCCGCCTTTAGAGGGCGGCGCTGAGCGACATTGGTTTATTTGATGGTTGTTAATGACGCCTTTAGAGGGCGGCGCTGAGCGACGTTTGTTTATTTGATGTTTGTTAATGACGCCTTTAGAGGGCGGCGCTGAGCGACGTTTGTTTATTTGATGTTCGTTAATGACGCCTTTAGAGGGCGGCGCTGAGCGGCGGTTGTTTATTTGATGTTCGTTAATGACGCCTTTAGAGGGCGGCGCTGAGCGACGGTTGTTTATATGATGGTTGTTAATGATGCCTTTAGAGGGCGGCGCTGAGCGACGGTTGTTTATATGATGGTTGTTAATGATGCCTTTAGAGGGCGGCGCTGAGCGACGTTTGTTTATTTGATGTTTGTTAATGACTCCTTTAGAGGGCGGCGCTGAGCGACGTTTGTTTATTTGATGTTCGTTAATGATGCCTTTAGAGGGCGGTGCTTAGCGACGGTTGTTTATTTGATGTTCGTTAATGACGCCTTTAGAGGGCGGTGCTTAGCGACGGTTGTTTATTTGATGTTCGTTAATGACGCCTTTAGAGGGCGGCGCTGAGCGACGGTTGTTTATTTGATGTTCGTTAATGACGCCTTTAGAGGGCGGTGCTTAGCAACGGTTGTTTATATGATGGTTGTTCATGATGCCTTTAGAGGGCGGTGCTGAGCGACGTTTGTTTATTTGATGTTCGTTAATGACGCCTTTAGAGGGCGGTGCTGAGCCACGTTTGTTTATATGATGGTTGTTAATGACGCCTTTAGAGGGCGGCGCTGAGCGACGGTTGTTTATTTGATGTTCGTTAATGACGCCTTTAGAGGGCGGTGCTTAGCAACGGTTGTTTATATGATGGTTGTTCATGATGCCTTTAGAGGGCGGTGCTGAGCGACGTTTGTTTATTTGATGTTCGTTAATGACGCCTTTAGAGGGCGGTGCTGAGCCACGTTTGTTTATATGATGGTTGTTAATGACGCCTTTAGAGGGCGGCGCTGAGCCACGTTTGTTTATTTGATGTTCGTTAATGACGTCTTTAAATCTGTAACGTGATTGTGGCTTTATTACCTTTCTCTGTTTCTGTCTCTCGCATGTTCAGATGACCTGGAGTCGAAGTACGACGATGTGACTCTGAATATGATCATAGCCGTAGTTCAGGCCATCGGCTTCTCCAACTCCTTCAACAACCCCATCGTCTACGCCTTCATGAACGAGAACTTCAAGAAGAGTTGTGTCTCCACGCTGTCAGCCTGCCTGCGGCGGCCGCGGCGGCTGGGTAGCGCTCCGGAGCGGCCGAACCTCAGCGTCCAGTTCACCAAACCCCTAAAACGGCAAGCGTTCATGGGACACGACTTGGCTAACACAGAGCAGAATGGCGGCAGCAGCAGGACCTCCGAACTCCCTGCCACGTAAACATCAGCCGGGCAGTGGAGACCTAACCCCAGACATTTCAGAACGAAAGGTTCTACAAACTAGGGCTGCACCTACTGATTATCCCTATAATCTAGTGATGTTACCCTCGATATCGAAGCTGCGAAGCATGTGTCAAACGAACAACACACTTATCTTGAAACATTGTATTTATTTTCCAATAAACACATGATCAGTGAAGCTTTGTTCAGCACTGCTTTAGAATCTGATTCAAAAGAAACGACGATGGTAGGCGGTTAAAACATTACGCCCTCTAGTGTTTATCCCATCATTCAAAGTTCCAGTTCTTAGAAGTGATGCGCCATATCGCCCCCTACGCTTCCTGTAGTGTATTACAGTCTGTCAGAGTGACTGTGTGGATCATATGAACATTATAGAGCTTTTTAAATGAAACAGTAGAAGCCATATCGCCCCCTACACTTCCTGTAGTGTATTACAGTCTGTCAGAGTGACTGTGTGGATCATATGAACATTATAGAGGCTTTTTAAATGAAACAGTAGAAGCCATATCGCCCCCTACACTTCCTGTAGTGTATTACAGTCTGTCAGAGTGACAGTGTGGATCATATGAACATTATAGAGCTTTTTAAATGAAGCAGTAGAAGCCATATCGCCCCCTACACTTCCTGTAGTGTATTGCAGTCTGTCAGAGTGACTGTGTGGATCATATGAACATTATAGAGCTTTTTAAATGAAACAGTAGAAGCCATATCGCCCCCTACACTTCCTGTAGTGTATTGCAGTCTGTCAGAATGACAGTGTGGATCATATGAACATTATAGAGGCTTTTTAAATGAAACAATAGACACTGTATCGCCCCCTACACTTCCTCAAGTGTATTACAATCTGTTAAAATGACTATTGATCATATTAACATTGTAGATCATTATAAAGTCAACTCAATGACATGACAGCTTTTATCCATAATCAATTCTGTTGATAACTAATTTTGTCAACTAATCATTGCAGCGCTACTACAAACAACACATTTTTGTTATCTTGTTTTACGGAAAGAAAAATATTTTTACCAATTTTTTTTCATTTGTTCATCCAAGGTTTTGTCATTTTTGACATTAAACAAAGCAGAACAGTGCAGACTCGAACCTGACCATACAGAATGTAAATAAGCTTCACTGTGTAGCATTTGTAACTAATTATGAAATTACAGTTAAGTAATTCAAATGCATAGAAAAATGCCAATAACTCGACTTCCAAGAATGAACCTGATAGTCATTATTATGGCTGTATAATGGCAAGTACCTGCCGATACGATACGCATCATGAAACAGGGATCACGATTCAATATAGTGCAATATACTGCGATACTGCAAGGTGATATATTGCACTGGAGCTCAGTTTGACCTCCTTGTACAACTTGGGCACAGCGATGTCAGTGATGTGTTGTCGGGAGGGTTTGGTGTAACAAGGCTCCATTGCAGTCACCATTTTACGGAAGCCTTGTTCTGACACATTAGGCGCTTTTCCACTGCAAGGTACCAGCTTGACTCGACTCGACTCGACTCGACTCAGGTCTACTTGCCTTTTTTTCTCCCCATTAGGCAAAAGTTGGTACCTGGTACCCGGTAGTTTTTTGGTACAATCTCAATGAGGTTCCAAGCGAGCTGAGCCGATACCAAAAGGTGACAAAAGACTACAGGTCTGTTGGGAAGAATCGTTAAACACTCATGCTAACGGTAGCTCCCAGGTTAGCGTAGCCTCTTCCATTGCTTTTTTTTTGAGTAATCAGAATCGTCTTGTCGTCTGAACTCGGATGTAGTTTTCCCCAAACTCTCCTGTTTTATTCAGCAATCTTTTGTCTTGCTGCTATCAGCGTCTTCTGAATGACCAGCTAAATTGAGAGGCACAATATCTGTGGAAAATGAAGTAGCTGGTGTCAAAAGCGAGTCGAGTCGAGCCGTACTGTGCAGTGGAAAACCAGCTATTGTGCTGCCTTGTCAAAATGTCCTACCGTAGGGTGGCATAAATGTAGGTAGTTTAATACACAAACCCATAGGTAGGAAGTTTTAATATCCTATGTCACACAAAGCTGAAGTCAGCTTCCTATTCGCCAGCTTCTTGTTGGAATTTCCCCATTCCACCTTAAATGGTGCAGCAGTTATTATTACAACACTTTAGATGCCAGAGTGTAACTACTGCACCATTTAAGGTGGAATGGAAAAACTGAAACAAGAAGCTGGCTTCTTGGCCTCGTCCAAATTCCCTCATCAGAAAATGTTACGAGCATTAAAAGAATATGTAGGACATTTTGTTAGCCTAAGTCATCTTATCAGGGTGTAAGTAGTAATATTAAGCTGGACAATGCCATAGACTGTACAACAGACTTGAAGTAAGGCTGAATTAACAATAAAAACAAAAGTTACTGAAAGGGTTCTTTAGTAAAGAAAAGGGTTCTGTATAGAACCACAAACACTCAAATAACCATTAAAGGGTCTTGCAAAACCAAAAAGGGTTCTTCTGTTGTTACAGGCTTGACATTGTAAGAATACAAGGTGCTATATAGAACCCTTTTCAAATAGCTTCTAAATAGGACCATACACAGCACACTCTCCGTCAGTCTGAAGAACCATTTAACGACGCAAAGAACCCTTTAATCACGCAAATGGTTCTTTGAGCATTCATGGTTCTATACAGAACCCTTTTCTTTACTAAAGAACCCTTGAAGAACCATATTTTTAAGAGGGTATAGTAATGGTATGAGCATGTTGGGTTAATGTGTAGGACAAATTGTTAGAGCACCGTTTAGTTCTTTCAGATTCAGCCACTGGTGGTAGCGTTACTAGTCAGCTAGGTTTGCTAATGCTAACACTAGTGGTGCCCCCTTATGCTACTTGTTTACACTGGAGTGGAAGAGTCTAATGGCTGAAGATAGATTACACTGCCCTCTAGTGATCAGGGGTTTAAACACAACACAACACAAAATGAACCACAGTCTGCCATGAATCTCTGGAGGCTCTAGGTTAGGGAACCAGCCTTGTGACCGGAAGGTTGTCGGTTTGATCCCCTCAGCTGACAGTACGTGACTAAGGTGCCCTTGATCAAGGCACCTAACCCCCAACTAATCCCCAGGGGCTGTGGATAGGGCTGCCCACCGCTCCGGGCAAATGCGCTCACTGCCCCCTAGTGTATGTGGTGTTTCACTGCACGGATGGGTTAAATGCGGAGGTCTAATTCCGATGTGTTCAGATATAGTTGGCTAAAAGGTTCATTTCATTAATTAAAAAGCAATACTGTATATTTGAGAATTGACACATTATCACAAAACATAATATTGTGATATTGAAGTGTATCGATATTTTCTTACACCCCTAGTCATTATGTAATTTTATATTCAATGTACCACTACAGCACAGCGCCAAAACAACCTTCACTGTTCAAATGTTTAGGACAAAACTGTAAACTGTGTGTCAGCATGCTGTTTACAGTGCATCTCAGTGCTCAGATTAATTATGTTTCACTTTAAACTTCCAAACAATAACAGCTGTTCAATAAGAGCACTGCGGCCGTTCCACCAATTACGTCTAACTAAAATGGCTATATTTACACTGCTGGAGTGCCAGGCTCATCAATGCTCTCTGCTTATGTAAATATGCGAGATCAGGAATGTAAACAGACGCACCTATGTTCTCTTTACAGTCTGTTTTGCTGCTCTGGGTTATTATTTATCTTTTCATATTTATAATCTCTGAGCCATGTAACTGTTTCTGTTTCTGTTGTGTTTTTTCCGCTTGTCAAAGTGCTGAAATAAGACTGAGAGGAGAAGCCTGCGAGCTCATGGTGCTGTGTGTCATTGAGACTTCATAATAGATAGTTTACATGTTACTGTGGAAAAGTTTTGGAACATGTCCTCATCATAAAACCTGTTTGGACACAGCTGCACTGAGGTTACAGGCTGATTAAATTAAGTGAAACAATTTTCAGCAGATAAGCCCCACTGGCCCTGTGATTTAGTGAAGGATCAGTAAATTTGTCATTAGTGTGAACACACCTGTGCCCCCAAAAGGATCTGCATGCTTATTAGGGGTCTTCAAGTGTGATGTTCTAAAAAAGTAATAATAATAGAAATAAATAAACAGAACAACAAAATAAAAAAAACATTATGCATCATCCATTATGGCTGCACAGCCATGTATCAGATGTATTGCTGGTACTGGTACACCTGTAGGATGGCTGGTAGAACTGCAGAAACACCAATACACCTGCAGGAACATCAGAGCACTGGTAGGAACACTAGTATACCAGGAGAGATGCTGGTACACCTGCAGGAAATCTGCAACACCTGCATGAATGTAGACCTGCATAAATGTTAATATACCTGCAGGAACGTTGATAGACCTGCATAGTGCACCTGCAGTAACACTGATACAACTGCAGGAATGGTACACCCGCAGGATCGTTGATACACCTCTATGAATGCTGGTACACCTGCAGAAACAACAGTACCCTGCTGGTACACTGATACACCTTCAGGAAAGCTGGTACCACTGCTGGTACACTGATAGACCTGTACGAATGCCAGTACACATGCAGGAACATTGATACACCTGCTAGAACACTGGCACACCTGCAGAAATGCTTGTACATCTGCAGGAATGCTGATACTACTGCTGATACACTGATATACCTGTAAGAATGCCAGTACACCCTACAGGAACCGTGGTACATGTGCAGGAACATTGGTACACCTGCAGGAAGGCTGGTACACCTTCAGGAACAGTGGTAGACCTACAGGACCTACAGGAATAGTGGTAGATCTGCAGGAACAGTGGTATACATGCAGGAAGTCTGGCACACCCGCAGGAACATTGGCACACCATACTTGCAGGAAGGCTGGTAGACCTACAGGAACATTGGTAGACTTGCAGAAACAGACTGCAAACTGCAGGAAGGCTGGTATATCTGCAGAAACATTGGTACACCTGCAGGAAGGCTGGTAGACCTACAGAAACATTGGTAGACCTGCAGGAATGCTGATACACCTACAGGAACTGTGCTAGACCTGCAGGAATGCTGATACACCTGCAAGAAGGATGGTACACCTGCAGGAACATTGGTACACCTACAGGGAGGCTA